ATATACTTCTGCCAGGGGATGCCACCCCTGAAATTCTCCTGCCACCCTCTTGCCACCCAATGAATATTTGTCTAGATCCGCCCCTGCCGGTCACAGAGATCTGCTATTTTAAAGTAAAGTCAACACATATAGACCCTAAATATAGTCTATATTAAGAACGAGAAAAGTCTTAACATATATATCCTTTTTTGTAAACATATGACAAATGTGTGAGGGTGATGACGTCAGAGCATCGTCCTATGTGCCAGGGCTTAGCCCCGGACAGCCCCAGCCCAATTTAACCCCTGGGTATTTGAGAGGGAGCTCCTATATGGCATTACCCCGCTGAAGCTCACCAAAGTTTAACATATTTCATAGTTCAAAGTTTTGTCAATTGTTTTGTTTATTGGTCAAATACTGGTTTCTAATGGTTTCTGAGGAGTTTTAATGGAATGAAAGAGCACAGAGTCTACAGAAGCAAAAAAGCAGCATACTGCATTAAACCTGACCTTCACAGAGAGGTTGAAGTTCATGTGGAAAGGAGGCTTCAGTAGTCTGTCTGCACTCTGTTTAGTTTTGCTATCTTACAATCAATATAGTCAATGTGAGGTAAGTGTTGCCAATGTAACCGGTTAGAACTCAAACTTGCGATGAGGTCTTAAAATGTATGGAAAGGGTCTTAAAAGGTATTAAATTTGACTTCAGGATTCCTGCATATACCCTGTTATGTCAAACCTTGGAAAGTGTCTAGATATCCCTGCCCTAATGCCAAAGTAACTGGCAACTGAATATGTGTCGCCGTTTGACGTCTATGTCTGGACCGCTGCGTAAAAGGAGGGTTTTTGCCCGTTATTTTTCCGCTGTTTTCTTGTCGCTCTTGTCTTGTCAGTTAGAAACTGGCCAAAATTGCCCAAACTGCATACAGTTAAATCGAACGTATTCTTTCTGCAGATGTGAGCGTCCTTAACAACGGTCAATAAGTCCTTGACAGCGGTCTGTCTGTTCGGTATTAACAACGTGTCACGTGTTCTGAATTGACCAATCAGAATCGAGTATTCACCTAAGCCATGTAATAAGTGCACATATCCACCTTATTTAATCAGTATGTCCCTAAAATGAGACCTTACTATTTAAATGTGTATTATCCGTCCCACAGATGGTGAAGCTGCTGCTGAACAAAGGGGCCAACCTGAGCGCCATCGATAAGAAGGAGAGACAGCCCATCCATTGTGCTGCTTACTTGGGTGAGACAGTCTCTCTTACTGCCAAAACTGCAGAAGAAAAACACATTTTATTTTGTTTGAGACGAGTCTGACTCATAAGAGGGGCGACAACACGGCCAAGTCCTGACGTAATGAAACGAGAAACAACGAGACCGACTGTTGGCTCGTAAACACTCTCTGGTTGTGGACTTATTGCTTTAAAGGTCCCTTATTGTACTGTTTCTCATCAATATCTCACAGGTCTCAAATATATCCAGAGCCTGTCTCTGATTGGCTGAAACACCAAACAGATCATTGCAGCATCCCATAATCCCCTTTGTCTCAGCCCTGTTTCCAAAGTGCTGATTCTCTGTCTGTAGCTTTAAATGCTAATGAGCTGCTGCTGGCCACGCCCCTCTGAGAGATGATTGGTTAAAAAAACACAATGGTGCTCTAGGAGGAGATTCAGGTGGTGGTTATTGGCTAATGGAAGAAGTGGATTTTGCAGACTTTTGTCAAAAGTCTATGAAAAAAAAAAGATATATATAAAATTTAAAAAAAGATAATTAATTAAAATATAAATAATAATACATAAATAAACATTTAAAAAAAGTTGATTTTAATAAATGTAATTATATTTTAAAAATAATAATATATTAAATACAATTGTGTGTGTGTGTGTTGACTTTGTGTTGCAGGGCATTCGGAGGTGGTGAAGCTGCTGGTGTCTCGCTCTGCAGATAAGAGCTGTAAGGATAAGCAGGGCTACACTCCTCTGCACGCTGCTGCTGCCAGCGGACACCTGGACATCGTGAAGTACCTGCTGAGGATGGGCACAGAGGTGAGACACTCACTATGAAATAATGTTTAAAACTAGCTATATTATCTGTTTCATAAAACCAGCAGCCTGAGGGATTTTATTTCACTCTCTGTGGCCTCGTAAGGCATTTGATTACATCATATTTTTATGATTAACCCTTAAATATCGTCTCTAAATCAAGTGATATTGAATATGCCCCATGTGTCCCGGCCCTCACACTAGAGGCAGTTAATAGGAATCAGATTATTTGATATATGCCAAGAAATATTGACTTAACAGTTTTGCTATTGCATTACAGTTGCTCCATTTTCATAGGATAATTAAAAATAGAATAAATAACTGTGTTTAGGATTTTGTGTCTTTTAATATCTCACTATTTTGTTGTGTTTTAAAGTCTGCATTTCAGTAAACTATTTGTCTTTACCCACTAAGTCCTTCTAGGCTCATACCTGATGATTACGTAATATTTTTCAATGATTAACCCTTTAATATCGTCTCTAAATCAAGTGATATTGAATATGCTCCATGTGGCCCGGCCCTCGCACTAGAGGCGGTTTTTCTGATAGGACAGTTTTGATTTGAACATGGACAGATTGGTGCGGTGTCGGATGTGTTTGGGGAGAGAGCTGCAGAGGGGGGTGGAGGAGGAGGCTCCGCCCCCCCGGGCCCGTCGCTCGGCCCCGTGAGGTGGAGACAGGAAGTGAGCGTCAGAGGAGCGAAGGCAGCAGGAAGGAGTGTGGTGGTGGAGCAGGTGGGCGAGGTAATAAGAACTGGATACTGTGATGGAAACTTCTGCTGAAGCAATGGAGACGAAACTCAGACAGACACAGGGAGAGCAGGAACTTTGAGTGAAATGAAATCGGGTATTCACACCATGGAGGCGGGGCTTGTTCATTCCTATGAGAGCTGCTCATTGGTGCATGAAGACAAAATGACTGACTATAAATAATAATGATCACGCCACCAAACACACATTCAAACTAAAGGAACCAGCCTGTTTGGAAAATGTGAGAAGTAGAAAGTACAGGTATTTGAGTTCAACATGTAAGAAGTAGAAAGTTCAGGTATTTGTGTTCAACATGTAAGAAGTAGAAAGTACAGGTATTTGTGTTCAACATGTAAGAAGTAGAAAGTACAGGTATTTGTGTTCGACAATGACAGAAGTACAAAGTGCAGCGCACTATCTTGTGTTCAAACATGTAACAGAAGTAAAACGTACACAGGACCTTTGGTCAAACATGTAAGAACTAAAAGTTCCCGCGTTACTGTGTTCAACATGAAGAAGTAGAAAGGTACAGGTATTTGTGTTCAACATGTAAGAAGTCAAAGTAAAAAGTGGTCAGAAAAACAAGTAGTGGAGTAAAGTACTGATACCAGAAACATGTACTTAAGTACAGTAACAAAGTACCCGTATTTAGCTCATACAGCGCAGTTTAGTTGTCCCTTAAGCCCCGCCTCCTGTCATTAAGCCCCCGATCTCAAACTCTCGGCTCACTAGAATGAATGGAGAGAGAAAATAAACCTAGTTTCGGCTTTTAGTGCATTTTACAACTTTAAGGACCGAATTATTCTAATAAGGGCTATAAAATAGTTAATACTGGGTAGTTTAATTAGTTACAAAAAAAGTATCCGCTGATTTACAGACGTCTCTTTCCCAAAGTTAGTCAATGAGAAAAAGTATCTCTGGGCCCAGTGACGTCACCGACTGATACGGATGTTGTAGTACCGCCGTTTGGCCACAAGGAATATTTTCCTCAGATTCCGGAGCACTTTCTCGGGGCTTGTTCGAGACGGAGAGGGACTTTAATTTTAAGGCAGGAAGTGAGAGGAGGGTCTGCAGGAAGGGGGGGGGGACTAGCAGAGCTCTGGATGATCTGCAGTTTATCCACAGATTAAGATAATGTGCCATAGGGGGCGATATAGAGCGGCCGTATTTTTGTAGTGGATCCTGAAGGCAGCATCTCCCTGGTTCCCTCCGCAAACACATTAACACCAGTTTGTGATTTTCGTGATGACGTTTAGTCGTCTCACTTGTTAGCTACCGCCGTTTTTAAATTCACCAGTGGGGTATTTACTGACAGGTTCTATGTCGTAGCCACCGAGCTTGTTTTGGAAATGTAACCGACAAAACCTGCTGACTTTTATGACGTCACTTTCCTGCAAATACAAATCAGGTGACCTTAGGACGTAAACAAGAGGGGAGTTTAGTTTATTTGTTTATAGTGTCGTCAACTACAAAAAACAGTCAATGGGGCAGCTTCAGCCAACATTGCTGATTTCCAGCTGTTGTCCCCGGCAACATGATAATAGACACCTTTTTAAAATCACAACACATCAACAGCATTAGTTATAAAGAAAGGATGAAAGACAAGGCTCCAATCATCTGTGTGTCATCAGTTTCTGTGTTAGTAGAGAAGACCTGTTCTCCCTGAGGTCTTCCTGTCTGATCCGCTGTCTCTTTGTGTGTTTCCTTCAGATCGACGAGCCGAACGGCTTCGGGAACACGGCGCTTCACGTGGCGTGCTACACGGGGCAGGAGGCGGTGGCCAACGAGCTGGTGAACCACGGGGCCAACGTGAACCAGCCCAACCGCTGCGGGTACACCCCCCTGCACCTGGCCGCCGTCTCCACCAACGGAGCGCTGTGTCTGGAGCTGCTGGTCAACAACGGGGCCGACGTCAACCAGCAGGTAGGAAAGTGTCACGGATCCGAAACCTTAGACACTCAAGACATAACAAGTTATAACAAAATAGAAACACGGACACACTGCTGATTGAAGGATTTATTATATTGTTGTAAAACAGTATAAGAGCCAGAATACTCGCGTCAAGTCCGCTAAGAGTTTACACTATGCCTTTGGACCTTTTACAACCACATGTTACAAGACCCTATGCTCAATAGCATGCTGATAACAGACATGTGCACATTCCTGGTACAAATGTCTCTAAGAGGTTCAAACTGAGAAAACGTGCACAAATTACTGACTCTATTCTGGGATAGTTAAGCCGCACCATTTGGATAATTGCGATTATGTTTTCACGATATAAGTGAATGCTATTTAAAAAAAAAAAAAAAAAAAAATGTTTTAAATTATCATTTTAAAATATATTGAAATGATCATAATGTAATGTGTTGCTTCTTATTAAGAGAATCTGTACCAAACTAATACTTTGTATTAAGTCTGTAGCTAGCCCTTCTCTGCAGAAACACCAGACGTCATTCAGATATGTTCACATTCTGAATATTGCGTTAGTCCATATTGCGAGTACATCATTTCAATTAATCGTGCAGCTTTGGTATCTGGTGGTGCGAACATAAACAATCTAAAAATATAAGTTGCAAATTAGGTCATAAAAAGAAATATAAAAGGATAATAAAAATAAGTATTTTTAATAAACAATTTAGCATTAAAAAAATAAGCATTTAAACCAAATTTAAATGTAACGATACAAATAACCGTAAAAGCTAAAAAAACAAAAGCACTTGGGACAATGAGTATATATGGCAAACTACAGCGTATTATATTTTATAATTAGTAACCCTCATTTGGCGATAATATGTGTACAATGCTGTGTTGACACATAACTCACTCACTTGTGCAAGTTTGACTGTGGGATCATTTGAGTTTAAAAAAACAAAAACATTAACTGTTGTCTGTTATCTGTTAAAAACATGCAGAAATAGAGTTAGGATAATTATAGGTTGTCAAACCCGCCTCCTTCACTCTGGGCTTAGCAGCTTTCTTAAGCTCAATCAAATAAATGTCACTAACCATGGAATACTAATGTCCTCTGAATAAACTCCAGATTAAATAACATGATTTTATATTCTGGCCTGAGAAGGATATGGCACAAAGAGCTTGGTAGTGAGAATAGGGAGGATCTGTGGCAGGATGTAGGTTGGGCTACAAGTGATGCGAAAAGCAAGTTTATCCATCATAACATTGTGCATAGATATTATTTTACAGCCCTGAAATTGTTTAAAATGGGCTTAACTCGGGACAATTAATGTTGGAAATCCAGATGGCCAGCCCGCCCCTGCTCACTAACGTATTAAGATCCAAAGCTTTAGTGCGTTTGGAATCCAACTTGACAGTCTCTTCTCGGTCAGCCGCGTTCACACCAAGTACTTTGCCGTACTTAGTTCCCAGCACTTAGTTCCCCCATGGAACTAAAGAGCAGATCGCGTTCATACCGGAATAAGTTCCCTGAGAGAAGATTAGGCAAATGAGCTGCTGACGTTTCATCGTCTTCTTTTGCTTTGGGTTTACTGGCAGGACGCAAACCACTTCACGGCGTATACTGCCACCCGAAGTCCCCGGCCGGAAGTCCCCGGAGTTGGGGACTGGCGTCAGTAGATGCTGCTGGGACTCCCTGGCGTGATTTGCAATTCGCCCATCCAATCAGAACTGGGGCACTTTTTTCCCCCAGGAGAGTACCACCTCTCAGCAGGCACTAAAAATGGGGGTAAAAGTTCCCGGCACTAAGTGTTCCTTTTTGGTGTGAACGCGACATAAGGGGTACTAACGGAACCAAACGTGAAAAGTACGGGGAAAAGTACTCAGGTGTGAACGCGCTTATTGTAGACCGAATGCTTCTCCTTTTGCGCCGTCCCGTTCAAATGACAATCACATTGCCATGCGCCTGCGCCGGGGGGGTAGGGGTTACAAGGCTTATTAATTGTGCTGCATTCACTTGCACTCGGACATTAGAGATTTTCTCTCATAAATGTCCGGGAAAAAAATAAGTTTCTTTGAGTTAATTTTCCGGGCCAAGTATTATTGCTGGCGGGCCAACAATGTCCCGTGGGCCGCCTGTTGCCGACCCATGCTCTATCTACGGGATTGCCCAATGGCACTGCCTTTTTGGAAGGTGGTATCAAAAAAACCTTGAAGGGTGCTGCCTTTAACTTCGATGCCTTTGGTTATGTTTGTTCTGCATTTATGTGTAAAATATGAAAAATGTAATAAAAATGTTAAAGACCAAAGAAACATGATTTTATATTGTGTCTTTCAGAGCAAAAAAGGGAAGAGCCCCCTGCACATGGCGGCCATTCACGGACGCTTCACGCGCTCCCAGATCCTCATCCAGAACGGTAAGCATCACTGAGACCAGAGGAGATGCTGCTGTCTCTTTTAGCTGCTCTCTGAACGCTCTCTGCTCTCCGTCAGGCGGGGAGATCGACTGCGTGGACAAGTACGGAAACACTCCTCTCCACGTCGCTGCTAAGTACGGCCATGAGCTTCTGATCAGCACTCTGATGACCAACGGAGCAGACACGGCCAGGTGAGAACACCTGGACTAGCACTGAATAGACATGTCTCTTCTACATCAACATGTGTCCCCTCTTCTTCATGTCTCTTCTACATCAACATGTGTCCCCTCTTCTTCATGTCTCTTCTATATCAACATGTGTCCCCTCTTCTTCATGTCTCTTCTTCATCAACATGTGTCCCCTCTTCTCCATGTCTCTTCTACATCAACATGTGTCCCCTCTTCTTCATGTCTCTTCTACATCAACATGTGTCCCCTCTTCTTCATGTCTCTTCTACATCAACATGTGTCCCCTCTTCTCCATGTCTCTTCTACATCAACATGTGTCCCCTCTTCTTCATGTCTCTTCTACATCAACATGTGTCCCCTCTTCTTCATGTCTCTTCTACATCAACATGTGTCCCCTCTTCTCCATGTCTCTTCTACATCAACATGTGTCCCCTCTTCTTCATGTCTCTTCTACATCAACCCAGACGTGGGATCCATGGGATGTTCCCTTTGCACTTAGCGGTGCTCTACGGGTTTTCAGACTGCTGTCGCAAGTTACTCTCCTCAGGTTGGTCTTTGTCATCCTCATCTATGTGTTTATATATATATATATACAGTCGGACGCTATGGAGGAAATTCTTCAGAGAAACTGATAAATTATTCATGGAGGAAGTTTGTCTTTTGCTATATGTAATAAAGTAATAAAGAAAGTCAATAAACAAGTGACATCGATCTGAAATGCAGGAACAAGTCTCTCTGTGTATTAACGTAGAGGAAGCTAGCTGCTGCTCCATCCCATCATTAAACCATTAAACTAGCCCTTTAAAGGTGGGGTAGGTAATTCAACTTCAGATACACGGTTTGTTATATTCCATGGTAATGCTCTTAACATCCTGATAGCAAATGAATATACTGAAGTGCTTTGACAAAAAATACATTAAAAAATCATCATCTGTTGAAGCCGTGGCGCTGTAAAAAGCACGACCAATCATCTGAGCCGGCTAAAGTAACTGGATGGCCTACCTGCCTGTCAGCCTTC